ATAAATTAAAAAGTTAAAAAATAAAAAATTTTTGAAGTAGCAGGAAAGTGTTTAGATTTTTTTGCGGCAATTTTTTTTAATGAGGGTTATGATATGTTATAGAAATAAAAAATATATTTAGATCGCAGACGATGGTCAAAAACTGGATCTAATGGAGTTTTGGGTTTTCATAATCTTTAATTTCACATCACACATCGACAGCCTTTTTTAGTCAGTATTCAGTAGGCAGGGGCCCTTTCCTTAAAAGGGGGGTTTGGCCTTTAAATTTCCCGGGTATCAATGAATATAGTAGATTATAATATAAATTCCAAACGGCCCTGAAGAGTCATTTTGTTTTTTTCGTTGGCGCTCAAAATACAAAAACTTGTTTTGTCAGGAAGGGAGAAGGTACATTTTTAAATGTCGTACCCGATGTAGTTTGTACTGTACGTAAGCACCCCAAAAATGTATTTTTCGGTGCAAGGTGCCAGAGTGCGAGCCCACAGATTTAGTTTCAACGCTCGTGGACACGTACGGGCTGCTCAACATTTCCAACCGTGCACAGGGAAACCCCTCTCGAGCAGCGTAAACCCCACAGAACACAGGGGCCGGCGTGTCACTCCGAGGACTTCGTTTTTAAACAATACGAGGTTGTGATAAGTTATCTATAAAAATTTACAATATTATCGTACCGAAGTGAGTATCATTGTTTTCAAAGTGCTCCCCAACTCATTGCACAAGTACGGCTCTATACGAGAGTAGGCTGAGAGGAGCGGAGTACAAGTGTTTAGAGCTATGGGGAGGGTTCGCGTCGCTTAGTCATTATCAATTCTTTTTTCTTTTGTTTTTTTTAAAAAAGACAACGCCCGCAATGGAATAATCCTGTGCGCGGGGGACTTTACAAACATACATGAAACGGATACAAAGAACCCCAGACTCAGAACAACAATTTGGGATAAAAAAGTGTCGTCCCATGTGGGTTTGAACCCACAACACTCGCGTAGTAGGGGAAACGGCGTGGCGACCCCCCCCCCCTTAAAACCATACGCCCTCCCTGCAGCATATCACATCTTTGTAATCTTTTTTGTTAATATTTCCCACTCCTTTTTTGTATTATGTTTTAAAAACTATCCCTTATGTGATGCGGCACGTTGCTTTGTACAGAATCGTGGAGAGCAAAGGGTTTTTTTGTTTCGCCCGCGCCGGTGCATGTGGAAGCTATCTTCCCCTACATTTTCATTCTAATACTATGCCATTTTTGAAGCTATTTAACAAATTTGTTCGATTTTTTAAAAACTAGATAATTTTTGATACCTATTCTAAACATTATTTTTTAATTGCAAAAATTTTTAGAGTCAGAGTCAGTTACGGATCCACAACAATGCTTTTTTCGTAAACAAAAAAATTTGTTTTTAATAAAAATTCAGAAGTAATTTTTTGTTTTAGACGACACTGAAATGGGGCTACTTAACACGTTCAGAGCCCTCATGAGGAGACATGTACGTGTTTCACAAAAACATTAGTCATGCTCCAGCTGTTACTGAATATGTACATCTTTCAAGGAAACAATACTCGATATATTTGTACTTAACTATTGTCGTATGTTACGTGTGCCCGGGCCCTGTGTAGCGAAAGGTCTGGCACGCGTGTGTTTTTCAGTCGGCCATACCACAGATTGTTTTTTAATTAAACGTGGGGGACTTAACTAAAAGAAAACAAAAATACGACTCTGCCATCTACGAAGACACACCGAATAGTACGTGTATAATAATAATAATTTTTTCAACATCTCACACACGGCCCGTCTGACCCCAAACAGGCAGACCCTGTACTGAGTAACCAGAAGCTGAAAAACGTATTTTAGATATTTCTAAAAAACACTCATATTATAGATAACGTACTTTATCTATAATATTTATGTTTACCCCCAGACACAGCCCAATGCCGTGCTCATCTACAACATTTTTCCTGGGTGGAAAAACGAACCCCCCACCTTGGCGTAGCAGTCAGGGTCTTAAACCATAGACCAATAGGCTAGTCAAACTGTTTAACCTGTATACGGCATCAAAAATTTCAGCCCATTGCAATTTACAATTTTTTAACATTAACCCTTGGGCCGTGGCCGTAGGCATATCCCTCGCCTGTTCGGAGGGTCCTCCCAAGGGGGCGGGGTTCCCTTATTATGCACTGAGAGTAGTAATGCATTAAATTTTAAGTTTCACTTTAAAAAAAGTCCCGCAATAGCATTTTTTTTTTTTAAAGTCTTAAAAAGAAAAAGAAAGCTATTAAACCTTTAAACATGTCAATTTAACGGTTCTTTTTAATAGTTTGTCCAATCTCCTACTTGTGACAATATAACAAATGTCAAGTACTGTGAAGGTATTGAGTAATTTTATGTTTTCCCACCGCTAGTTCGACCGGGGGATGTAAACCCCGGGAAAAGGACGCTGATTGGCACTGTGCACAATTTGGGGCTCGTTTCCCTTCGTGTTTTTGACTTGTATCGGAAAAGGAGTAATACATTTTTAACGTTATTAGCCGAAATTTTTTAAATATGTACCAATAACTTTATTTTACACAAAATTAATTTTACTGAATAAATTGAAAAAAAATTTATAGTTTAAAAAAATTTAAAAAAAAGTTAGCCAACAAAAAAGAAGGAAATAATTTTTAGTCCAAAAGAAAAAAGCGTGGCTATTTTTCTGGGTTTTAAGAAAAAAGTTTTACTTTTACCAATATCATCAGTAAAATTTTTTGACGGGACTTGAGATCTAGCCACCCCCTTTTTTTTACAAAAAAGATTGTCTTTTAACTTATAGAAAAAACCTTTTCTTTTACTACAAACTGCTTTTTCTAGTTTTTTTTTATTTTTTTTTTAAATAATCGGTTTATTTTTCATGTAAAAAATGAAAGTTTACCATAGAGAAAGGGGCTAATCCTTCCCCCACGCCTACCACTGCCCAAATCCGTACACCCGGTCAGCAGAAGCATTACAACAAACCGGAGTTTGGCATCGGGAAAAACCCCAGGAAACATTCATCAACACTCAACACCTTGGAACCCCCAAGAAATTATTAGAAAAAAAACGGGGTTTTTTTTTGTAACAATGATTTGATTTAATTGTTTTCTTGACTTGACACTTAAAAAATTTTATATTGTTTTGCAAAACCCAAGTAAAATTGATGTAAATAATGTGAAAGGCCAAAAGATTAAAATATGAAATTGTGTTGGGGGTAGATAGGGCAAGGTGGGATCTTTTGCACGCCGCTAGTCGTCCCGGGATCGCCCGGGTTTATCAAAATCCTTCCGGGGAATACTACATGCTCTTGGTGCTGGATTCCCCGAGACGCGCTGGGGCCCGGGGAAAGCCCCAATGGTCCTTTTTTAAGTAATGTAAAAGTAGCGCAAAAGAGAAAACCCCTTGTACATGTGTAGTAGATAAAACCTAATGATAGATAATTTGGTTAAACCTGCTATGATTGGAAAAAGAGTAAGGGGTGAAAATAGTCTCGACGTTATGTGCTCGATTACGAGTACGGAGTAAGTAAGGGGAAAATGCCCCAAATAGTTTTTTAAATTTCCTATGTAAAAAGCGACTAATCTAGTACTAATCATCAATAATGCGTTACCAAAAAAACCATTTAAAGTAAATTAATGTAATTATAGTGAGAAGGGGTTTGGTTTCAGCCTAGAGCCGTGAGTCAAAAAACGTGAGGATGTTTTCGTGCATATCGGGCATTTTTTCAGTTTTTTGGGAGGCCTTTTTCGGGGTCATTGCTTGGAAGGGCCCCCACTGGAGGCACATGAGAGACCATTTTCACGCCTTTATGTCGTCGTGTTTTTTATATTTCCCCGTGGGCGAAAGGGGTCAGGTGGTTTTGGCCCCCAACAAAAACGACGAAACTGTCGGGGTGTTGAACAAAATGGCCAAAATTAATAATATCGAAACTTTCTAACAAAGCGAAAAATAATGCTTCCAACATAACTACAGTAAAAATAGGGGGGGACAGGTAATAACACAATTGGTGATATTTACTCTTTTTATGAGATTTGGTTTCAGACAAAAACTAATAGGCCAAATTAAATAGATAATAGCAAAAAAAAAGTGAATTTGTGAAGAAAAATTTTAAACAACAAAAGGGCTTTAATACCAGTTAAGAGTTTAGTTGGGTGTTGTCAGGCTGGCAAGCTGGCTTGTTCTCATGCATCCTATATAATGTACGTTTTTGTTATTGTGTTGGTTATTGTTTATTTATTTTAAACCATTAGTGAAAATGCTTGATTCATCACTGTAGGAATTTTTCCACTTTGGACAAGTGTTTTGAAAAAATTTTCGTTCTCTTAAAATAGCACATATAATACGCTTCGCTCAGGTTTATTATCATATCAAAAATGCTTATGATGTTCAGTTAGCTACTAAATATTACTTCATCATAAATGGATTGACTTTTTTTTAAATCAGTTGTATAACTACTACTACAATGTAAAAAACTACAGAAATGCACTATTTTAAAGTTAAAAGTATATCATATATAACTAAATTTGTAGGAAGGCGAGCAGCCGCCGGAGCGACTCCCCCTGCTGTCGGTGTTGCGTCGCGCACATCCTGCTGAGGGTTGCGTTGATTGCTTTTTGCTTCATCTGCAGCACGTTCGTGTACAACGGCATTAAACATCAACTCTACGAGTGTGTTCGGGAAACAAAAAACCTAAATTTCCGGCTTTGCTGCTGGTGTCAGTGCCCACGCCGATCATCACTGCCTTCACGTTGACACGGTTTGGCAGAAAGGCACCCATTTGTGTCGCCTACGTATTGTGCTGCGTGTTCTTTTTGCGTCAGCTTTTGTATCTAAGGGTAAGTTGGAAATTTCGAATATGAGCTAATCCACTCTTGCTCATAATAATATTGGAAGATAATGGGACTTTTCCCCCAGCTGTGTGGGGGCGTCCGTGCTGTTCTACTTGGCCGGCAAGATGTGCAGTAGTACGGCAGGGTTCAGCATGTATGTAGTCGCCATGGAGGTTTTCCCACCAAGTCTCGCAACTCTCTCCCCAAACATCGCTAATACTGTGGCAGGCTCGGCGCCGTGCTCGCACCGCAGGCGCCTTTACTGGAAAAAGTCATTACGTCTTATTTTATATTTAAAATTTATGATGTGGGAAGTATTTGGCTACTACTCGTATTTCAAAAAAGTTTTATTTTGTAAATTGAATAGTTCTTTCTGTGTGACTCTATCAACACTACAACGAAAACTATTCGAACGGCAATATTATACTGCTTCGGGAAACGATGTGGATAGTTACCCAACTTATGTTTATTTTGTTTCAGGAAAAATACTTTTCAGGACTAACGAGCAGGTGTTTGGATAGTGGCGATAGGAGCAGCACTGTTGGCGCTCCCTGCTGCCGGACACCAGCAAGGCGGGTTGCCGGATGACATCGCCGACGCCGAGAAGAACGACAACCAGCTGTCCGAGGATCAGGCCCCTTTGTGAATGCACAAACTGTCGTGTCAGTGTCACGCAAGTGAAGCAGTAGTAGCACGCGGATAAGGCTCTCTGTAATTAGTATATTAACATAACCTACGGACATTAAAACTTTTAAAAGAACCATCAGTAAAGGCAAATTGTATAAAAAACGATAGTTGATTGATAAGCATGGGCTTTATGCTCATTTTCGTGTGATATTCGTGTTAAGATTATTTATAGGGAACGAGGTTCACCAATATTTACCGGTCCCGGTAATAATTCGTTGTAAATGTCAACTACAAAATTATTTACAAATCTTTTATACGTTTATGGTAATTTAAGGTTTAATATACGCAGACTTGTTTAAGCTAGAAAATCACGTATTCCTTGACCGTGAGAGATGGCATGACATGACCTTCTCTACTTTCAACTAGGTGGAACGATCTTCGAAGTACATGCGCGATGTGAGTAATCACGAAAAACATCTTTATATGAAGTGAGCCACCAGTTTCTAACTCGGTTACAGTTTACTTTATAATGAGATATATTGTGTATTGTATATTGTAATATTCATGTGTTAACAAAACCGATCTCATTTTTGTACTTCGTGCAGGGAAAGGCAGACAATAACCTTCTTTTAACTGTTAAACACAAACCACACTAACTTGCCAAAACTAAAACCAGGCACCAGGGTTTAGTTTTGGCGAGCTAGTGTCTCTTATGTTAGTGTAATTCTGGCCAGACATATGGGTCTTTTGATAGAAAATGTATAAAGGGTAGCACACACTCGGTGTGTTACTGCTACAATCAAAGGTTAACAAGAAATCGTGTCCACCTTTATTGTGAGTAGCACCCAAGTTAGTGGTAAGTAATTAAATTTAAATAATAATTACAATCTTTTTTAATAATTTTACAAATGTAGATATAATGTAATATTTCTTATAGTTGGAAAGTTTTAGTCCCGACCCCCACTGTCTATTCCTCTTTTCGTGCTCGAGTCCTCTTTGAATATGTGTAGAGTATCAATGTAAACCATGATGGCTCACTTTGTACATGTATCATAAAACTTGAAGGGGTTTGACTCGCAACTCATAATGAATGATCTGATAAACGAATGCTATAATGCCTACATATTACTTTTCAGATATTTAATTATTTATGTTGGTACTAAAGTTTTAAAAATTTTTTAATATTTTATCGACTATTTGTTAGTAAAGTCCCTAGGTATAAGCCAAATCTATTTAGTTTGTTGCATGGAAGCAAAGCGTTGTTCTTATGTAAAAATACTACACCATAGTAACATTTCATACAACAAATTTAAATTGCTTATTTCACTCAGTATTTTTTTTACTTTGCCCTTGGGATGGTGTACCTACACAACCCCGCCCCGGCTTTTACAAATACGGTAGAAGAATCGTTGACGCTCGGCTCATTTCTGTAGGATAAGGGTCCCCGAGTTCGTTAGACCTCCTTCTTAGTCTCATCACTGACAACAATAAAAATAGGTACGGCTACAAAATAAAACCATTTGTATTTATGGGTCAGGAATGAATTATATAGTTAAAGTAATTTAGTGGAGGTATATATATATATATATATATATATATATTAGTTGATACCATTTGCAAAGATAGAGACAAGCGCCGATGTCTGATGTGGGCTTTTTAATAGTAAGTATTTATTTTTGAATTTTAGAAATGCCCGAGTATTTTTAATTTTTTTGTAAGCGTCATAAATATGTAAGGAAAAATAAGAGCTGTTTTATTTAAAAAATATTGAAACTACTGTTTGCCTGCCAAAAAATTTGATTATGTCATAAGTTTCTTGCCCTTGCTGATGCCAACCATCCTAAGAGAGAGAGAGAGAGAGTAGACGCTTTCAGGCAAAACAGTGACATCGTATTGCACACCATTAACAACTGAAATAATGTCGACATCACCAGAAACACAAAACCAAAACACTTGTTTGTACGTCTATTTACTTAACTTAGGCTTCTCGCATCTCTTGGGATTATTGTAGGATCGATGTTTAATTGAGTAATAGACATAATCGTGTTAGCTCAGCTTAGAAAATGACCGCGTGACCTAGTAACGTTAGTCATGCTACGTCTATAGTGACACTTCCTTACTTAACATGTTTGACACTCGTAAATATCCACCACCAGGAAACTGGCGAGTTTTCGGGCAGGTGCAAGTTTTGGTTTTGGCATGAATTACTTCAACTTACACACATTTTTTTTTTTCTAATAATATTTTCAGACATCTGACACACAACGCCATCTAGCTTCAAACTAATCAAAGCTTGTACTATGAAAGCTAGATTAACTGATAGAATACTTAAATACCTTTTGTGTATATACATACATATTATACATAGAAAACACCCAACTCAAAACAAATATTGCAGATCAGATAAACATTTGGTCTGACTCGGGAATCGAACCCGAGATAAGCCCCCCAGCTTGCAGACACAAGTGGCAAATAAAACCCTAGGATAGCTAATAACAAGGGCATTTTGTTGAATTGCCGTGTGAATTTTCCAAGTCATTGTATTTGTTTAAGAAATTAACTTGTATAAAAAAGGTTACCACTTGTTGCATCAGACAAACCAAACAGACAAAACAAAGAATTGTTGAAGGTGCGATATGCAAGTACGTACTTAACTGATAAAAAGATAAGCGTTACTTGAATGTATCAGCGATGTCTATCTATTAAGTAGTTGATTAATTAGTGTGACGTCGTATTTTTAAAGGACGATTCCATTTATTTATGATTTTTATCGAGTGCGTTTCGTGTATATAAATACGGGTAAATCGATTAGTCGATGTCAATAATCGATTCAATCAAACGGATCACACCGTTCATTCCAACCCTATGAGATAGGTGAGATGAACTCTTGCCGGCGCGAAGACGGCTAGGAGCTTTCTTTTCTTTTTCGAAGAGTGGATACAGTGGACGTTCGGTCCGATGATCTGGGGAGGACCTCCAGAAATGCATCGGCTCGGATGCTGAGGCGTCACCCGCCCTAGATACCAGATATCACCAGGAAAAACCCGAAAGGGATTTTTATTTTTACTTCCTCTGATGTAGTGCTCCCGCATACCGTTACTACATACATACCGCATACCGTTACTACATACCTACCGCATACCAAACCATTTAAACCTAATTACCTACCTATTTGTACTGGCTGCTGCTACCTCTGGTGCTCCGAGGACTCCTAGCATCTACCAACATTACCCTCTACAAATTGCTTCCGGCTGAGGACGCCTGGAAACCAGGGCCCTTACTCAGGAAACGCTGAGGCGGTGCCTCACCTATGGTCAGCCCCGCCGGGTAAACGACATTGAAGGTACCGGATCACCTAATACCAGTGTTATCAGCTCCTCTAGGCTGTGGCCACCCGGTATCCGAAGTTCCATTTTCTTTTTCTTTTATTTTTTAATAAAAGTAATACCAAAGGATTACTTTTGATTCGCCAAAAGCTCCACCATTTACCATCTTAACATAGTTAATAGAGATTAAGTAACTAATTTAAATACTTTAACTTTTTACACCTTTTTCCCTTTTTCATTTTGTTTGTTATTTTTCAAGGGGCCCCGGGAAAAGCAAACTCGCAGGACAACAGCACTGCAAGAGAAGGAAAACTTGAAACAAACCCTATCCAAACCCCGTTGGCCACGTGGTATAGTAGGCCAAAAACCCCCCCTAAGGAGGGGCCTTGCCCACAGTGGACTCTAAAGGCTGTTGATGATGGATTCAGAGAGGTGGTTACGGCCCTTTGGGTCTTTTTTTTTTGTATTCTAAAGCTACAAGTGTATTAGATATGGTTATGTTTTAGATAATGGAAATAAAATTAGGGTGGGACCCCACAGCCGATTTTTTTTTTTAATCCTAAACTGCCTGCAGGTAAAACCCTGCTTGTGACCCAAGGGGGAAAAAGACGACATTAGTCTGGCATTTTTTTAAAAAGGCCTACCCGGGTGTATACTCGATTATTTATTTATTAAGTAAACTGCTCACTACCGGCATTTTACCCAACATGCGTAGTGAGCCTTTTAAAATAACAGGGTCAAAATTGATTATCAGAAAAACATACAAAATTAAGAAAAAAAAATTACGTATGGTCAGTACGCAGGGAAATGTTGTAAGGGATTGCATGTTGTCATTTTTTAGGGGCCTCAATTTTTGCTATTTTATGTTTTCGCCAAACCCCGGGCATACCACTACCGCTATGGATGCATGAGTGGCCATGCACCCGGATAAATATCGGTAGTTGAAAATATATTCGTTTTTTTAGGAAATGATTTATTTTTTTTTTGTTACGCCCCCTTTGCGGCACTGTGCGCTAAAAAAAAAGGGTACTTTTTAAAACTAACAAATTTAAAAATTGTTTTTTTGTTTTTTTTTGCGACTAGTTCCCGGTTTGCGGGCGGCTAAAGGTTGAATAGTGTTTTTAAAGAAAATCAGTAAATTTTTTTTGTTTTTTTAAAAAGAAAATAGTGCTGAATTATTTTTTACGATATTGGGGAGTAAATTTATTTTCTTTCTAAAAAATGGGTAGGGGGTATCCTTGTTTTTATTGATTTTTTTTTTTCGTGTTGTTTTTTTTCAAATTTTTTCTTCTTGAAATTTTGTTTGGGGATCTTTTTTTGGCTATGTCGGGGCGTTTTTGGGGTTACCGGGTCCCAGCGGGAAAAGTGAATTTTTAACACCAACCGGGAAAGGACATTTAACGAAAGCACCTACGGGTTTCTCGCCGAAAACAATAAATAAAGAATGAAAATTTTTGGGTTTAAGTGGAAATGTTTCGTCTCTTTTAAATGTCGTATAAATGTGGGGGAAAACAATTACTGCGAGTTTGTCTCAAGGCTACCCAGTACTTGGGAAAAATTTAAAGAATTAGTTAAGATCGGATCTCGTATGAATGTAGGTAAAAAACGGCAATTATGGATATTATCAACGAAAAACCC